AGATGTGGTATATATTTATAAGCATTAACAAGTTATGACATTCATAATTAAAATGTTTACCATTATATCAAAGAAAAGCAAACAGAATTGATGGATTTCATAGCTGACATTGTACAATTTAATACTTCCATTTTTGACTATCCATTATATGGAATAACTTAAGAGGTGATGATTAATGATTATAAACAACAATTGATTATAAAAAATCATTTTCCAAGACATTTTGAATAGGCTAAAATTTATAAAATATTTTTTAGATTGTTTCTTTGAGTCAGTCTTCTGTATATTTCATCTTTTCTAATATCAAAAGACAATCCATTTGAATAATTTTAAATTATGGAAGAAAATTAAAATTTTTCTTTATTGGATTCATTTCATTAGGTCTGGATTTTCATTATAGCTTATTGAAAGAAGGCCACAAGAAATGAGCATGAACAAAGTTAAAATCCAATTTTAACAAACAGAGGAATGAAATTTGGAAAAATTAGAAGACGACAATTTTCCTCAGGTTTCAAAATTTTATAGCAATATATCATTTATAATTTCAAAAAGTCCAGGAAAAGGGGAGACACATAGGGGAGAAGGCTTTGCAAATATTAAGGTCTTCTGACCTAAGAGTATATGTCTCTCAAGAAACACAGGCGGAAAGTTCCACAACATTGGTCTGGGCAAAGATTTTTTGACAAGACCCCCAAAGTACAGGAAACAAAAGGAAAAATAGATAAAAGAAATATCAAACTAAAAGTTTTCTATACAGCAAAGGAAACATCCAACAGACTAAAAAGAAAAAACCTACAGTAGGGGAGAAAATATTCGCAAACTATTCATCCAACAAGGGATTAATATGCAGGATATAAGAGGAACTCAAACAATTCAGCAGTAAAAAATTAAATAAGTTGATTCAAAAAGCAGGCAAATAATCTGAATAGACATTTTTTTCGAAAGAAGACATAAAACAGCAAACAAGTATATGAAAAACATTCAACATCATTAATTATCAGGAAAATTCAAATTAAAGCTATGAGATACTGCCTTATACCTATACTTGTTAGAATGAAAACTGTCAAAAAGATGAAAGATAAAAGAATTGACGAGGATGTGGAGAAAAGAGAATCTTTGCACACTGTGAAAATGTAAGTTAGCACAAAAATTTGGAAAACAGTATGTTCTTAAAAACCAAAAATAGAATCACTATATAATCCAGCAGTCACACTCCTGGGTAGACGACACATCTGAAGGAAATGCAATCAGTATTTCAAAGAGACATACACATGCATATCCATTGCAACATTATTCAAAATAGTCAAGATATGGAAACAACCTAAGTACTCATCAACAGAAGAATGGATAGATAAAATGTGGTGTGTATACACAATGGAATAGTATTCAGCATTTAAAGAGAAGCAAATTCTGTCCATTGCAACAACATGAAGGAATCTACAGAATATTTTCCTTAGTGAAACAAATCAGGCACAGTAAAACAAAAATGTATCTCACAAGTGTAATATAAAAATATCAAATTTATAGAAGGAGAGTGTGTGGAATGGTGGTCTGAGAGGTATTGCACTAAATAGTAACTATCATTAATAATAATGTGATGTATACTTTAATATTGCTAAAAGAGTAGATTCTAATTGTTATCACTACAACAAAATCATCAGTATGTGAATTGATGTACACATAAATTAGCCTATTTTAATCATTCCACAATGCAATACTTGCATGATTAATATTGTATCCCATAAATATATACTATTCATCAACCAAAAATAAAGTTAATTTTTTTAAAGAGAGAGAGAGAATTTTAATATTTATTCTTTAGTTTTCAGCGGACACAAAATCTTTGTCTGTATGTGGTGCTGAGGATCGAACCCGGGCCACACGCATGCCAGGCGAGTGCACTACTGCTTGAGCCACATGCCCACCCATAAAATTAATTTTTAAAGAAGAATAAATTGCATCGCTTAACAAAAAGGAGTATACATCTCAAACTGTCTGATAACCAATTTGGTCATACATATTAATATTCATAAAAGTACCACCCACTGATGCTCTGCTTCTATTATAGGAGCATCTAAGTAGACAAAAGATACCACTATATCAGAGGAGAAGTACTGGATTTCAGCAACAAGTCAGTTCCCATAGAAGAGAAGGACACACCAGGATCTCTTACTTTGTCAGTATCAGCATCTATCTAAATTGGCTAAGTTCCCTGAGCACTAAAAAAAAAGGCCTTCTATGACAATTTGGATTCTGATGTAAATGGATCTTAGGGAGGGAATGTTCTGAGAAGCAAACACTAAGAATCTGATCTGCTTGATAAATCTATTTCTTACAGTACCATAAATCATCATCAAAAAGAAACCCCATTTCACTTGATAGCATGTTATGTCCTCCAGAAGCTTAGAAAGGCTCAATAATTGAGGAGGCTCTGTGCCCAAACAAAGCCCCTCCTGTAACAGCTCCTCTCACTTTTTAAGATGTTAATGGTCAACAGGGTCAGAGAGTGACACTTAGCCCACTCTCAATGAGAAGTGGAATTACATTTGCATGAATCTGTCAGGATAAAGGCATCTCTGCAGTAGGTCTTCCTTCCCTCCCTTCCCCTCTACCTCCTATTCCTCTCCTCAAACACACACATTGCCCCAAGCCCTTAACACAAGGCCTGAGAAGGCCCCAATGTAGAAGGTGAAGCATGGAGGTACACTACTCTGTGAAGTCAACATCTCTTATCCTTCTTATACCACAACCTCAGGCAAAGCACGCCAGAACTCCACAAAAGCCCAGAGACAGCTCTAGGTAAAAGGTAAGGAGAGTCAGAGTTTAAACACAGAAAACCTGCAGCCTGGGATGTGATGTAAACTTAATGCAAAAAGCTAGCAATGAAAATAGTCATTATCACTATTTTAAAAGCCATTCTCAAGGGAACAAAGCAAAACCAAAGAGAGTCATACATATAAAATTTGCCTGAATCACATCAATTTGCCAAACCTACACTTGGAATCTCTTTTGAAACAAGGCAGGTAAAATATGAACATTCAAAAAAGACAGCCTGTTTCCTGAGCCTTGAAATATTATTATTTGGGTTACAATTTATAATGAACAGAAATACATCGTTGTAAAATTGCCTTTGGACATATTTTGGACTGAAATAGACCCTCGAACTGCTAGATGAGAAGAAACCAAAATAGCAGGATATGCACTGAGCTTCCAGTATTGTCTCTAAAGGGGAGGGGGTGCACTGCCTCCTCCCTGTCCCCATGAGCTGCCACAATCACAGCCACAATACTAGAACTGTGTCCTTCCCAAAATAATTGAGTGACAACCTCCTAAGTGAAACATTAGGACAACTGGGTGCACTGCCCCACATCTCTTTCACCCAGCACTTTCCCAAAGAGCAGGTTTCTTAGTCTAGATCATAGTAGGTGTGGGACAGCAAAAGTACATGCAAACCACTGAGAGGGCTACCAAACTAAGACTAGTTCCTTCTCAGTCTCTGTTCTGTTCAACAAGGGTTCCAAAAGTCTTGGCATCCAGTCACACCCAGGGTCACCTTATGAAATGACAATTTTTATTCTCTATTAAATGCCCACTGGCACATGGCATGGTGCCATGGAAATTAAGTGGTCACCCCCAAAGACACAGAAGCACAGAGAGAATACCAACAACTGTCTCCTAGGAGGAGGAAACAGAGACAAAACAAGGGAGAGAGAGCAAAGAAGAATGAAAAAGAACATGGAGGGAGAGAAAAGGAGTAGATTGACAAACTCAGGCCTGTGCCTGTCACACTGTGGCTTTCTATTCCACGAATTAACCTCCCCTTCACCCCAGCAAAAACTTGGTGCCTCAAGTTCAATAAGGATTGATCTGAATATTTTTCAGGCATTCAAGCTATATATTGGTTAGGAGACAGTTTTCACTCATTGTGTCTATGTTCTCAAGCATCACCAATGAATATTTATTTTTTATATGAAAAAATTTAAATCAGGACCAGAAATTTTACGGACAGTAAAACCAATTTTATGTAAAGAATATATAAGTCTTTGGATAATAAAAGTATGTGAAATGTTATACATTGTTTTAATTGTTTCTCTCTCCAGTTTTCACAGCCCCTTACACAGTTCTTTTTGCAGCCTTCTGCTCTTTGTACCTTCTCTATGGGGGATCCTATCTACTCCATGTTCACAATTATCACCTCTCTCTAATGATTCTCAAATACTAAATTGCAACCCATTCTTCTCCTCTGAAAGCCAGATCAACACATTCAAATTAAAATATGGCATCTTTATCTGAATGTCACTCAGATACCTCAAACTCAATTTATCTAAAATGGCTTCTCTACTGGCCCCAATCTTTTCCTCTCATATAATAATTGTACCATGAAGCTGGGTGTATGGTGACGCAAACCTATAATCCCAGTGGCTCAGAGGCTGAGGTAGGAGGATCACAATTTCAAAGCCAGCCTTGGCAACTTAGGGAAGCCCTAAGCAAATTAGCATGACCCTGTCTCAAAACAGAAATTTTTTATAATTATTATTTAAAAGAAATAGCTGAGGATGTGGCTTCATAATTAAGTGCTCCTGTGTTGAAAAACAAACAAACAAACAATAGGAGCTAGAAAAGTGTTCATTCCCTTTTCCCTTACCCCACCCTTAAAACTGGTATCAAGAGTCCCCATATGTATGTGATTTGGTGGGGTCACCATATCCAACAATTTTAAGCCAACTAGGCCCTGGTCCTTTCATCTACTATAGACATTAGAGTGCACATATGGAAACCTGGAGCTAAAACTGGATCACAACCAAAGAATTTCACCCTTTCCTGGTCTCATATATAAAGCAGGATAGTATCCCCAAGCCAACTAGGAATATATTATGGAGGCTGGTGAAATCATGTCTGAGGAAACACTTTGAGTTCTTAGAAAAAAGCAAAAACTTTTTTTCCTTTGAGAAATTATTTTAACAGTTGCCTTGCATGAATGACAGAACTCTACACAGTAATCACTTAATAAATGTTAACCTTTATTGTTATTATTATTGTTTATTAAATGACACTGAAACATGGCAGAATGCCCCAGCAAAACAAAGGTCAACCAAAAACTATCAGTCCTGCATGTTAGGTACTTAAGGGTACTCACTTTTCTTAATTGCTATGTGCCAGAATAGTGTAGGTACTTAGCATATAGTATTACTTCATTTAATCCTCATGATAAGCCTCATTTTCACCACTCGTCTATCATTTTGGAAAGGAAACTTCAACCAATCACATTTTCAATCTAAATCATTTGCACACTCAGTACACATTCAAATCAATCGCCTGCTTCATTCCTAATACTTTCCTTTTATTCAAAAATTTCCTAAAAATTAATATTCATTTTATTTAAAAAAGAATAGATGAATAAAAAGTAAAAAAGTAAAGATCACTCATTATCCTTCCACCCAAAGATAACTATTATTACTATTTGGAAATATATGATTCCAGAGATTTTAGTGTGTTTTTAAAACATGATTTAATATCCCCCTCACCCCAGCAAAATGGAATGAATACTGCTATCTAACTTATCTTTCTCACTTAACATTGAATGATGAATATCTTTTCTGGAAATATAGTATTCCACTAGCATATTTATCATATCCTACTGGGTGACCATTCCTTAATTTATTTGAAGAATCCAGTGTGACAGACATGTTGTCTCCAATTTTTACTACCTTAAAGAGTGTTGAAATGAACATCCTTATACATGTAATCTTTGGACAATTATTCAATCACTAACTTTGGATAAATGGTTTACATATTTTAAGGCTTATGATATGAATTACCAAATGGCCACCACTAGGATTTGTTAGGGTCCATTTTGCCACACCCTCACTGACACTGCACAGGAGAGAGGGGTTCATTTATATGGATTCCAATATTTTTTTAGCCAAAAATATTTAGTGGTTCTCAGCGTCCAGTGAGATAAAATTGAAACAGCTTTCTACAATTGGCTTCACCTAACTTTCCTGATTCATTCACTCCTATTGCCCATGCTGTCCACTGCAAGCAGGCTGCTCTCCAACTATCATAGGAAGAAGGTTCCTACCTCAATGCCTTTCTCACACCATTCTCTCCTGGATCCTGTAACATCCTAACCATCATACCCCATCCAGGGCTCATTTACAAATCCATCTCCTCCATGAAACTTTAGCTGACTGGCATATCCCACAGAATCCTTTGCCTCCTCTGTGCTCTGAGGGCACACATCTGACAATGAGTGTCTGCTCTGGATATCCTCGGTTATCTTTTGGTTTGTATGTTTCTTATCTCTCCAACTAGATTATAAACCAAAGGACAAGAATCATTTCTTTCTTTCTTTCTTCTTTCTTTTTTCTTTCCAGCATTAACACATAACTTTATTGATGATACACAAATGAAATCATTGCAAATGACCAAAAGGAGCTTACTCATGACGAATTGGTTCACTGTCACTTACGTAGAGGAAATAGTAAAAAATACTTCAATCTAGGCAGCGAGATAAAAAGCAACAAACATGTTTTCAGAACAAGTAGTGATATTCATTTATCCAGCTTAAACCTGAAGACCAACTTGGTTAAATATCAGCATTGATGATACAATATGGTATTCGTTAAAATTGGCAGCTGAAAGGATTCCTTTACCATATAAACAAGGTGGAGAAAAGGAATAGTTTACAATGTGTGTTGCTTCTAAACTACAAAGTCAAGAAGTTATTCCTGGCTCTTTGGGAACATATGCTCAGTCAGTTTGGCCATGAATTTTCCAACTTTTACTTTCACCAAAAAATCATGGTGACTTTCTATTCCCAGAACCTTATCAGCACACACTTGAAATTCTTTTAAAAAGAAAAATAGTGACCCTTCACCGAATTGATTCTGAGTAGATTCATTTTCTTCCCATTTAAAATTGTCATTTACATTCTCAAGAATGACCAGAAGTTTAAGAATAACCTCTTTGTTCTCTTTCTTATTAAAGAGGAAACCCAGTGAAGATGGCACTTGGGCCCTGAGCAATTCTCTAGTCATAGCTGGATTTTCAGCCAAATTCAAAAGGAGTTTCAAAACCTGAAGTTTAGTTTCTTCATTTCCCGCTGAAAATAAACGGAAAAAATCCGAAATGGAATTAGCAAGCATGTGCTGATACTCATTAGTAACAGTCATATTCGTAAGCAATCTTAGTCCAGCCAGCTGCACAGATGAGTTCAAGCGAGAAGTGATTGTGTCATCACATACTTGATTCATGTATATCTTAAGCCTGCGCTGATTTTCAGCATTCACACTCAAGTTATTTAGGACAATTAAAGCCTTTTCCTTAACGATGGGATCCCGAGTATTAAGAATCTTTGCAACAATTGGGAGACCACCCAGATCACGAATGATATCTCTGTTAAATGCATAAGCAGCATTGTTACCCAGAGCAATTAAAGCTGCTTCAAGAATATAAGGCTTTTCAGACATCTCAACCAAACAAAGAACTTTTTGTAGCTCTTGAGGGGACAAAACAGTATCATCTGAATTAGGGGAAGCCCTTTTCTGGACAGCCCTACGTGCTCGGGTAGCCCTGGCCCTTGCCCTGGCTCTAGCTCTGGTCCCGGCCTCTGTCCCAATCCGGGCCCAAGGTGGGTACCACACTATACTCTTGCTCTCATTACTGTCATCATCATCATCAGACCAGTCATTATACCTGGCCCCAGAACAGTCCCCAGAATCATCCACATCCCCAGAACCACCCTCTGCCATTTTCTCCTTGCTCTGTTTTCTTCCCCGGGTCAGTCTATAAATGCAATAGCAGGCGCCAGCCCCAATCACCAGGCCTGCAGTCACCCAGCCTACTTTCCTGGCGTAGCCCATGCAATCGTCCCTGACAACAGCAGGGACCAAGGAACAGAGTAGTCACTCAGGGTAGGGAAAGAGGGTTGTGGGCCTGAGAGCAGGTCTGTAGAGGGTGATCTTCAGTCACTTCAAGACCACAATATCTGATTCTGGAGGTGGACCTGGAGGTGGAAGAAAGAAACAAGAGTTTCAATTTCTCTTCTCTTTTTGTTGTCCCATGCAGAAAGTTGCACAGAGGAACAGAAGAATGGCAATTGAATGCTGGGTAGGGAATATAGATCATTGACAAAATCTCTACCCACCTCATTATACTGTCTCCCTAACCCCTGCCAGCCCACCCTACCCCAAGTGTAGATAAAGGCAATAAGTCCACAGATTCGGCTGGGGTGTCAGTCACCACAATCTCTGGTATCTCCAGGGAGTAGCACCCTTGAACTAACCTCTTTGAAATAGGCAGTTTGCTCCTTCTTCCCTTGGCTGGGGGTGTGTGCCACGCCCAATAATCTTTCAATCTGCGGAGAGACCAGAGCCAATAAGAAAAGAAGGCTTGAAGGATTGTTCATTTGTCGCTTTCCTAAATCAACATCCAGGTTATCAGATATTTTTTAACGTCACTATGCTATCCAAAACATGAAAATGCCTCCCCCTCCCTAGCCTAAAACGCAGGGATGTAAGAAAAAATAAAGTAGAATTGGGTGAGCCTGTCCAAACCGCGGCAGATTTCCAACCCCTCCCCCATTCCAGACAGCCCCCACGCCCACACCGACCTCTACCGATCCTGGGAAACTTCCTCCCTAGCTTCAAACGGTGCCACCTGCTACAACAGACCTGCAGGATGACAGATCGAAAACATGGGGACTAAGTGCTGTTGAGAGAGAAGGATTATGAACAAACTACATGATAGGTTTCCTTGCTGTCATTTCCCCCCTTTCCCCCTCCCTCCCGCGCGCGCACACACACACACACACACACACACACGCACATACACACACACACACACACACACACAGCGCACGCCATTTCGCCACAGTCCGGGGAGTGTGAGAAACACATTCAGACTCACACCTGAACCTAGATTACCTTCTCTGGTTTTCCCCCACCTTCACCCCCGCCCCTCCTAAGGTCCCCAGATGGTCTTACCCTCAAATCGACCTTCACCGATCAGGGTTAATTTCCTTCCTCTTCTCTTGCCTGGCGTTGTGCCGTAACCTACGGAAAGATTGGCCACCCAGGGGAGGCTCGGACCCACTAGACACAGTGCGGTGGTCAGGAAGACACAGCTACAGGCAGAAAGACGGGAAACAGCCGCTACTGAGTGCTTGGTGGACGGACCAGTCCCCAGAGAACGAAACTCTCTTAATTCGGAGGCCTGGTTGTGCGAGGCTTCCCAACCCCGTTACCCCTCTCGGGATTCTGCTGACACATCTCGTTGCACCCCAGTATTCCCGCCCCCCATGCCCAGCCTTTCCCCTCCAGCACTGTCCTGGTGGACCCGGGGGCAACACCCAGGCCATAGCTTCCTTTCCGGATTGCGGGCCTTGCCTCCCAGCAGATTCATATCTCCCTATTTCTGGGCTCTTCCCTAACACCCCTCTGCTCACCGTTTCACAGCATCGAAATGGGCCGCAGGCGGGACATATGTCTAAGAGAGCGGGCGGCGAGTGGGAGAGACGACGGAGGAGCCTCAGGACCTGCGACGGTCTCCGCCCTACGCCCTCCACCACCCCCACTTTATGGAATCTACCAGGCACTGACCTGCAAGAATCCGGGACAATTTCCTTCTCCTCCTCTTTCTTCCCTCTGCCTCCGGCCCGCCCGCCCTCAGGGCAATGGGGAGCTGGTACTCAGAGGGGAACAACGACCAGGACAAGAAGGACTTCTGCACACGTCAGCTCTTGGTCACGTGAGAGCTACGTCATCCACCAACTCAGGGCCCCCAATTTCCCCTCCCACCAGCAGTGCGGCAGAAGAGGGCCCGCCCCCCACTATTCCCTCCCCCATACTAGGCCTTGTTACCCTTTCTTCTCCACTAATCCCATCTCTCTGTAGTTGTGTTTCCCTTCCTCAGATTATCAAAAAGGGACAGCATCTTCCCCTGGGACTACTGGCCACTTGTGCTTTTTTGAAAAATTGACTCTTCCTTCCCTAAACTCCTGGGACTGCAGCCTCTCCCTCCACCTCCCCTCCTCCCAGCTATTAATGTCTACCATTTCCTCTGAAATCTAGTCCTAGATCTGAAATGAACAAGCATCAGAAAAGGAAGCCTGGAGTGAAAGTGTGGCTTTTACTTTCTTAATGCTTTGTTATTTTTGTTCTGCCCTTACCCACCTCCAGTCCGCCTTCTTTTATGAGGAAAAATACTACAAAGCTATTTTCATTTTAGGAAAAATGAAGACAGTGGAGGTGGGAGAGTGATGTCAGGTGATGGCCTCTAAGTCTCACATTTCTCACTTGGTGGAGAGTGTTAACCACTTCATTCAAAGTAATCTTAATGTCTTTGGGGCCTTAGCACATAACACAAACCTGGATGAATCTGAATGAGCTAATAAGTGTGTCTGAGAATATGTAAATCTTTGATTAGGCCAATCTCTGAATAGAAGAACAACAGACTTCACTTGCATAAATTAGCGAGGAGGAGGCTTTGAGCTCTCAGAAGCCAGTAACAAAAGATTGAGGAGAAAACAAATCTGTGTACCCACTATCTGTAAGATAAGAAGGCATGTACACTGACAAAGTGAATGATATACAAAGAACATTACAAAATATACTTGATAACAAACAGAGAATATCTGTAAACAAAATAGCTATTAGAGGAACCAAGACAAACTTGGCTGTACTTGGCATCTAGTACTTAGTGTGAAACCATTTCACTGGTTTAATGAGCTCAATAATTCACTTGGGATTGAACTTTTCACAAATAGGAAAAGGAATAAAATAATTACATTCTCTCATTGTTTAAGTTAAGTAGGTTTGGTTTCAGTTGCTTGCAACCCAACAAACTTAACAAATACAGAGCACAAAAGCAAATAACACAGTACAAAAAGTAACAGCTTTTCTGAACACAAGATCCTTAGTGACATGTTTCCTAATAGCTTGTGTGTAAGGTTGTCATCTGAGTATGACTTTAAAATCCACAGACAATATGGAAGTCAATCAAGAGACTGGGGAGTTTGGGAACAAGCAAACCTCCAGTAAAATTCATATGTATATAAATTCTGGGAAGCAGTACTGAGACATGATTGAAATTTAGTAAACAGAAGCCAGATCAACAGTATAATTCTGAATTTAGAGAAAGATCATGTGCAGCAAAGGGGCTCATTCAACCACAGGATTATGAAAAGGAGAGTCAGAGGAAAGTGTTAGTAGTTCCCACCCAACACTGTCTGGAGGAGAAGGAGTGTTGGCTAAAATGAATGGAATGTTTAGCTTTTCTTGGCAGAATCATCCCCATAACGTGTAAGAGTACTTCAAGATCTCTTAGCAGAAAGCCACTTCTTAAGGAGAATGAATGTCCCTGCTCTGATTGTAGGTTCACCAAGCAACCTTCTGGGGTTGTGGCCTCCCAAGTAGTAGCTTGTCTACAGAGAGAAAATGGGCATGTAAGAATGACAGAAAACTCTAGTACCCTTGACAGTTGTATTTCTCAGGAAAAATTAGTTTCCCTTGTGGCCTACTTAACAGGAAAAGAATGCAGAGACCCATGGGTTTGAGCATTCAGATCTAGATTTATATATGTCTCTATAAATGAGAGTCTTTCCTTGACAGAGGCATCTGCTTTCAATGTGCAGACAGAATCAGGATTGGCTCATACAGTGCTGAGGACAAGACCCTGAACTGTAGATGCAACCTTGTAGAATCCTGTCAGGGAAGCCAGGTGGCCTTGGCTCAAATGATAACATATGCATTGCCATTTTAAAACTGTACTTTTCTAAAGTTTAGTTAATGTGGAAGTCACAACTAAGACATGCTATAGCAGACAGGCCCCCAGCATCTCAGCCATAGCTAGACAAAAGGTTAATATCAAAAAGAGTGAAAGGGCTTCTACAAATCAACAACAATATTTGAAACAATTAACATTTCTCTCTGGAAAAGAAAGGAAATGCATTTTGCATTTTACATACCTTACATTTCCCTAGCAAACGGATGTACACTGTGACCAAAACAGACCAAACTAAAATATGAATCTTGAGCAGAGAGATAGAAACCTGAAAATTTATGGATTTATGGTATCCTGAAGATATCGTCTAGCATTCTCCTTTCTTTTTTAAAATTTTTTTATTTGTTCTTTTTAGTTATAGATGACAGAATACATACATGGTGTATATATCAAACATATATGGAGTATAACTTCCCATTTTGTGTTGGTACATGATGTGGAGTTACACTGGTTGTGTATTCCTATATGAACATAGGAAAGTTATGTCAGATTCATTCTACTGTCTTTCCCATTCCCATCTCCCCTCCCATATTTCCTCCTATCTCTACCCATCAGAGTTGACCCTAGTCTTCAGCCTTCCCTCCTTATGTTAATGAGGTTAGGTTCTTTTACTTGCAATCACACTACCTTAACTAAGAGATAATACAAAAAGAAATATAATTTTTCAAGGTAATGACGTCCTAGAGGTTTGTTGTTGTTGTTTCACCCTCTACAATTCCATTTAATGTTACCATCCACTGATCCATTTTTTGTTATTGCTTTCAGGTACTTTGTAAGTCATATATCACATGTGGCCACACACTGACATAAGCCAAAATGTTTCTTTTGGCAGTGACATCACAGAGTCTTTTGCTGGTTCAGGAACTTTTAACAGGCATATCCTGAGGATTCACTTAAGCATTTTCCTATTTTGCTTTTAAGATGGAATGTCAAGCACATGACATGTCTTTAAATATATCGATGTTGGTGGGCTTATAATGAAGACCATGTTGATTTTTAAATACTAGTTCCCAGATTCCATTGTAGGAATTCTGGATTGAAGTGACAAAGAAGTAAAAGAATTGAAAGGGTTATAATGTCCATGGGGATTTAGAGAGGGAGTGGGTTCAAATCATGAAAGGTCTGAAAGAGAATGGTAGTGTTGGGTAATACACTGGAATAATTGGAGGATACATCAAAGCCAGGAGAGGTAGGAGTGAAGTTTTATCCTTGAAGCCAGGCTAAATGTTGTGAAAATGAATCTGTGTTACAGAACCATGTGTAGGACAGACACCAAGGCATCCATGTTTGTTAAACTTTACATATGCCTTAACTGTTTCTAATATATACATTTAAAAAAACAAAAGTCACTTGTGTAGGTACTCGCAGCCAAAAACTGAATGATGGGAAGTTGTATCTAAGTGTTCTGCTTGTAAAGTTTCAGAAATAGAATTCACTTGTCTATGAGAAATAAAGTGTCACGAAAGAACAGTGTCAGGGGATGATGTTGAAACAAATGAGGTAGAGATTTAGAGAGATGGAAGTATAATATTAGTGAGGAGTTTGGACTATAAACATTTGGGGAAGATGGGGAAGACAGGAAAGTCAGGACATGTTCCTAACTTCTAATATTTGCCAGCAAGGCATTATGAGCTCCCTGGCTCACCTCCCAAAAGGGCCTCTTGCACACCAGGCCCTCCAGCTGGGGTGTCATATTTCAACATTCTAAGAGGCTGCCTGGAAGGTCTATATTTAGAGTATGACTCCCCAGTAGAGACAGGTGGGTATCTGAGGACTAACTTCTACATACTTTGTCCCTGAGTTTGGGGATTATTCTGAGGGTCTTGGGCAGGTGGTACAGTGAAGTTGTTACAAGGCAAGGAGTGAAAATACCTTTCTCCTGGCCACCGTTTAGGATCTGATACTTTGTCCTTAAATTTGTGAGGGGGAAAATGGCATGGGCAGCTGGGGTGCCACAGTGATTCAGTCTTCCACAGACCCTCACCACCATTGCCAGTGGAGAATGATAACACTGGTCAATGCTGTGGTGACAATATATGGATGACAGATCCCAGAGACATCTCACTACTGTCATGATGGAATGAAAATTCCACCTATTAAGTCTCATTTGTATCAATGGGATAATTCTCTAATTTCTGAATGATTTATGGGTTACATCATGAAATTTCAGAATAGATTTTAAACAATGTCTTTTAAATGTAAAGCAGGCTAATCTGTGAAGTTACTGATTTGTAAAGTTCATCTGAAGTTATAAAATTTGCCTAAAGTTGGGGTCTTTATGAAAGCTGTCCTTTGAAGCCATAGTGAAAGTTATTCAGCAGCCTTCTACAAGATCTCAAGAGCCTGACATCTAATAATATGAATTCAGCCAGGAGGAAAATATGGATGGTGGTTCACTCATCTAAAATGGTCACAATCAGAACACTGACCATTCATTTATTTGTCAATTTATAAATCATACTGAAAGCCCAGGAGACTGGTCTCATTTGTAAAGATGTGTTTTTAAACTTTAATATGGTGTTTTAAAGCTATAATTTAGAAGAAAATACTTTCAATGTGGAACAAATTAACTTTGCCAATTCAATGAGGACCTCTTCTTAACTGGAAAATCTTGCCTATGTTACATATCTTTAAAAATAAGATTATGGTTGTTTTTTTCTGCAAATGGAAATAGCTTTATTGTATGTTCTTATTACGAAACAGCATAGCATGATTCAATTATAAAAGGAGGGACAATACAGAACATAAATGGATCAACATATTAATAAAAACCTCACTACTACCTGGGCTTCTTGTATTGCTCTTCCTCAGCCAATTTTGATGCAGAGACTGAACACAGAAAGGAATAGAATTTAAGGAAGGCGTTGCAGGAGATTCACAGCCAAGGAAAGGATGACACAATTCTCCAAGAAGTGTAAGGAAGGGCAGGGTAGACCCA